GTCTCAGTGTTCCCATCTGTGGAACAGGGATCACAAGGCCCACGCTGCCTGATTCACAGGATGACAGGGAGGTCTAAGCCTGACAGAGGGGCCACATGTGCAGAAGCTTTACCAAGGGCAGGATTCTGATGGCATTGATGGCGCCCGTACAACTGCTCAGACTCTCAGAATTCTAGAGCTTCGGGGTTCAGGCAGAGAGGCGGAGTGAAGCTGCAGATGGCATCACTTCCTGGGCAGGAGCAAACTCTTATATAGAAGAGCATCCTGCCCTGCTCCCAACCTAAAGTCTTGGACGGGGTGTGAGCAGGTTGCAGGGCTGGGCCTGGGGCTGCCAAGCAAGCCAAGAGACCCAGACTCAAAGTCTGCTGAAGCCCCCACCCCCTTGCTTAACATCTCGAGCCTCAGGCCCCTGTATGCAGAATGGGGTAGTGATATCCCGAAGGTTGAAGGATTAAATGAGTCAAAGAGGGAATTCCCTGGTGGTCCAGTGGTTAGGACTCTGCACTTCCACTGCAGGGGGCACGGGTTCAATCCCTGGTCCGGGAACTAACATCCCGCATGCTTCACAGCACGGCCAAAATAAATACATGAGTCAAAGAATAGGGATGAAGTACCAGGCCCAGGGTTGAGCAGAGAAGAGCCTCCCACACATTAGTGGCCACTGGATAAGAAGGTAGAAACTACCTTCACAGCGCACTAGCCACATGTCCTTGACAAGCTGGAGGTTACTTCTCCTCCTACCTCAGGTGTGAGCCCTGGGAGACACACTCTGAAATGGAGATGGAGATGTGAGTGCAAGAGGTTCATTGAGGAGGGCCCTTGGGATACACAGCAATGGAGGCGGGGCGGGGTAAAAGAGGCAGGACTGGGCTAAGGGAGGGGTTGAGCTGCAATGCAGTCACAAAGGAGACCTCGGTGGACCCCCAGGGAGCAGAGGATCTGGGGTGGCTCTGTGGAGTTGGTCTGAAGAATTGAGGCAAGATGGCGGGCCTTTATACCCCTGCGTGAGCCTGTCATTGAATGTGGGTCGCCCCCAGGAAGGGGGTGTGACCTTAATGACAGTTTCTAGAGGGGCATTAAGTGTTGTACACCTTAAATACATACAGTCTTCATTTAAAATTTTTTATATGTGAACTGTCTGCTGTCCATACTCCCAGCAGCTGGGGGAATGACTGCCTCAGTCATGAAGGGCCGTCTGGACAGCACACCACAACATACCTTGCCCCACCTCAGTTTCCTCATCTGTAAAATGGGGATACTAATAGTGTCTACCTCACTGGATTAAAATGAGGATAAAAAGAGTTAATAGATACAAAGTCGTTTAAACAGTGGCTGGTGCATATTATTCCTGGTACTAGCATTTTAGAAAACTTTCAATAAATCCTTCTTTATCAGATGAATAGATAGATGAAGGAGCTCTCTCAACCCTGTCCAGAATAAAAGACAAATGTCATGTTTGCGCATTTGGGAAATAAACTCACTAGCCAGGTGACAAAGCATTTGGCTGGAAAGCAGAGGTTTCAATATATTTGAAACCTTGGGACTCATGCTTAGAGGAAATTGAAATCTCCCTTTCCAAACCTTAGCTGCACTTGAGGGTCCGGCATTCCCCGCGTAGGCATTGCCAAAGTCCTTTATACTCAGTGTGCCGAGCTGCAGTATGGGGATCTGACAGCTGAAGACAGCTCGGCAGGGTGCAGGAAGGCAGACATTTAATGTGCTTTGACAATACAAAGGGTTATATAAACGACCCAGTTTCTATAATTTTGCTGTAACTGTCATGGGAATTGCTATAGACAGATACGGAGAAGGCCCTGTTTATGCACTTAAACTTTAAAAGGTTTAACCACTAAACACACAGTCTTCTCTTCCCTTTCTCTTCTCCCAGTCCTGCATTTAAATTGTTATCAGAGCTGGGGTGTGGGGAGAGGGGACAGCAGCTGGAATAATGGGTTGCCTTTATCTGCCCCCTTCCCGGACCAGAGCCCCACTGGCCAGCCTCCTCGGGGAGATTGCCTTACCTGCTCCCCGCGACAAGATGCAGAGACGGGGGAGGGATGGCAGGAAGTGAAATGTGCCCGCTCTGAGCTCACGGCTTTTGCCCAATTTAAATCTGGTTCCCGTCCCAGTGTTCAAAGCACGTCGCTGTTTGATTCTTGCCATCTCATCTTAGAAGACTTTTCCCAAGGTGGAGGTGGGGAGAGTTCTGAAACCAGAGAGGCAGGAGGTGGAGGGTTTATACAGGCAGATACCACAGGCTTCCAAGCTAAGTGCCTTAGCGGGGAAAGCTCCTGGCTGCGGCTGACATTTCTCAGACAGGAGATCAATAAGTGGGCAGAGCTTGAAAAGCAAATCTTGCTTCCACCTGCCCTGGGGAACCCTCAGCAACTGTCATGGCAGAGGAGGCATCCCAGAGGAGGCCAGAAAAGATAGGGGGGGACTCAGATAGCCTTGATAAAGCCGAGACGGGGGCCAGGGAAATCGGGACTGCCCACGGAGATGAAAGGGGCAAATGCCGGGATTCCCACCACCCCTGCCCTTCCTTCACAGCTCTTGCTGAGTGCGTTAAGAGCCCTGACTTCTGCCTCCCAGGTAAAACCAGGCACTTGGAGATGAGTTTGCAGCTGATGTGCCTTTTCCAGCCCCACTGAGCCTGGCGCAAGCATGGAAAGCTGCCCCAGCTGGGAGACCCTGCCTCTGTGGACGAGTCCCTCCAAATTCCCTGCCCCACTGGCACCCAGGAAGATTTCTCCATGCTCCACTCAGACCTGCAAAGGAATTTTCTATAGCAGACTGGAGCTTTCTCATGAGCCCAACGTGCCTTTGCACGTGCGTGTGTGTCCATGGGAGGGCACATGCACACACATGGAAGTGGGCCACAGAACTGGAAGTCAGTATTAAACTTGGCTCTGACCTGGTAAGCCTGTTTTACTCCAGTCAGTTAAACAGTCTCTTTTGGAAATCCAGACTCCTTTGCTTGAAATAGCTACTCTTTCCATTTTGTTCTCCCCCTCTTGATCCTCTCCAAGATCACACCTGGGTATGGGGAGGGAGTATGTCACATCCTTACGGTTAGGGGCGGTCAGGATCCATTCGGCGCCACTGTTCCACTCTCTGGGTCCTTCATGCCGCCACAGCAATAGATGTTCACAGTGCCAGCAACTGCTGAAGTCAGTGGTTAGTGATCTTGTGGTATCCTCTCCCAGGGCCTTGTGGCCCTCCCTGGTGGCTAGGGTCCTCCTCAGCCCTGGCTGCTATTGAAGACCCCGTGAGGCATGGCCATGATCTTATTTAGTCTCCCGCTCAGGTAGCCCAACCAGTTCCCTTGACTCTAGGATCTCTTTCAGTCCATGGTGGTGACCCCTCTGGTGAGCTCTTCAGCTAGCATCTTGCCAACATCTGTGTTCTCCTAGGGGGCTTGTAGGCATGTGTGGGATCTCTCGCATGCCAAGTATTTCCCAGGATATCTCAGGGATGCTAACTGGGGCTTGCTGTCTGCCTAACCACTCCCTGCCCTAGGTGATTGCAGGTGTGCCGTGCTGGGTGGGCTCCTCCTGGAGTCCCAGGCAGAGTGGATGACTGCACTTCTGCTCTTGGCTTTCACTTTCACTCCCATCAGACAACTCTCTGCTCTGAAACTTTGGTACAGAGAGGGCCCGAAGGAGCAGACTTTTCTGGTCTGGTTAGGACTCCTCCACTCGTGTCACATTTTTGTCTTCATGACCCAAGCTTCTGCATGGTGTAGCTTTAATGGTGAAAGATGGGCAGAGAAAGAAATGGCTTCTTTCTTAGCCTGGGTTCTCTTGAAAGGAGAGCATGACACAAGGTCCTGGGTGAAGGTAGTTTATTTAAGAGGTGATCCCAGCAATTAAGAGTGAAGAAAAGGAGAGAGTGATTTGGGGAGGAAAGAAACACGAATATAACAGAGGGCAACAGGGGCTGATTTCACAAGAAGTGTAGGGAATGCCTTGCAGAATTATCCACTGGAAGGACAGAAGGCTGAGGCATTTAGCCACTAGCTGCCATCTGACCCTGGCTGAGGATTGCCGCTGGGGGTGCTAACTCCATCCAACTTCTGAAGTGCACACACACACACACACACACACACACACACACACACAGACCAGGCAAACTCCCATATGGGTGGAGAAGGCCCGGGGGCAGAAAGAAGATGAACACTCTCGGCTTGAGATGAGTGTACCCACCGCAGACGCGGCTGAAATTACACGTGGGCCAAGGCGATGATGAGGGTCACCAGATGTGCCTGATACGCTTCCTCAAAGGGACTTTAAATGAGGAGGAATTTTTTAGAACATATTACTGATTACCACAGCCTTAAAGAACTTCTGGTCTAATCTCCTTGTTTTAAAGGGGGGAAAACCAAGGCCCTAAGAAGTCGCGACGTACCCAAGGTCAAAATAGTTGAATGCTGAGCCATAAGTAGAACGTGGATGCCAGAGACCCATGTAGAGCTCTTTCTGGTGTATCACACTGATCCATTCAACAACAATTATACATTTATTCACTGCATATGGTTTTCAGAGCATCACAAAGTATAAGACAGAATTCCTGCTTTCAAGGAATTTGCAACCTAGATGATGAGAGAAGTTTGGTCTTTGGTCATCATGTGTACTTGTTAGGAAGGAGACTGGCTTATGTACCCTATTCAATCAGATGGTGCTCCAGAAACATAAGGAAGAGACAAAAGGGGCCCAGAAAACACAGAGTAACCGTGGTAAATATGCATTCAGAAAACTTTGAGTATTAATCTGAGCTCAGGTGTAGAACTTCAAGAAAGCGGCCCCATGATCCCTGCCTTTGGGCATTGATGCCTTTGTGAAATCCTCTCCCCGCCAAGGGTGGGCTGGACCCAGTGACTCACTTCTAACAGATAGAATATGGCAGAAGCGCTGGGATGTCACTTCCAAGATTAAGCTGTGAAAAGACTGGCTCCTGTTCTGGGTCCTTTCCCTCACTCTCTCTTGCGTTTCCTGCTCTAGGAGTAGCCAGCCACCACGTCCTAAGGCAACCCTGCAAAGAGGCCCATGTGCGTGAGCCGGAGGCATATCTTCTGAGGCCTGCCAGCAGCCAGGCCAGTGGGCCTGGGAGCAGGTCCTCCACCAGTCGAGCCTTGAGATGGGACTGGAACCCTAGCGATACTTTGATTGCAGCCTTGTGAGGGACGCTGAGCCAGAGGACCCAGCTAAGCCACATGCAGATTCCTGACCGTCAGAGACTGTGAGGTAATTGGGTTTTCTTTTTCCTGTCTCTTTTTAGCTGCTGTGTTTTGGAGTAATTTGTTGCACAGCAATAGATAACTAATACAGAAGGCATTGCATTAGAAGCTGGCAGTGAAAGCATGAGTAGTATATGGACTTGGGAGCAAGTGACAGAAATCTATTCAAACTGTCTTAAGCAAAAAGGAGCACGTATTGGAAGGGTTTGTGGTTCTCTCCCAGAACTCGAGGGCAGGGAGAGCAGCAGGACCCATAAGGAATGGAACCAGGACTTAAAATCTACTGGGAAACAGGTGAGTGAGCCATTTTCCCCTGGCCCTCTCTATGAGGCCCTTAAATCCTTGTGTCCCAGCAACTGGCATTTTCTATTTCTTCTTGTACATGGGAAAAATCGGACCTACCTTGAGGCCCTGACACGTTCTCTCCATTCAGGCACGACAGATACTTACTTAAATTCCCAGTTCCTGGAAGAGACTTATCAAATAGTACAACTCAGATCAGCCATCCATTTTTGGTCCCCAACAATGGAGGCTAGCAGATGGGGTTATGGGGCTGGCTGCCCACACAGAAGGGACCTTCGAGAAGAAGGTATGGGAGATGCAGGCAAAGTAGGCAACAAATTAGTTGAACTGCCCTCAAGAAGCTTGCAATGGATTTTGAGCGCGTCTGGTAAGAGAACCGTATTCCAGGGTCCACCTGGCTGGCTTCTCAGGAGCCAGCACTCTTCCCTGGGCTTTAGTTTCCTCATCTATAAGATGAGCAAGTTGACCCCAGATGATCTCTAATGGCCCTGCCAGCTTTGAAGTTCTGTGTCTCTAAGAGAAAGAGAAAGCAGAGGAGGCATCTCCAGACACTCTCATGGAATTGTGGTGCCCGGCATCGTACGACCACACGGCCTAGGTCTCTGGCATGCGGGGAAGGTGCTCAGCACAGGGAAAGGGCGAGTGAGGACAACACAGAGATCGGCCTTAAGAACAATCAAACCACAAAACAAAGCTTTTGTAACAAAAGTTGTGTTTGGGGCAAAGACACAGATACACAGAGGTTTATAAGCAGCTCAGTGGCCTTGCGCCTTATGTAGTCAAAAGCTACCTGGACAATTGACAAAGCAGAACATTTTAAAAATAGAAAACCAATTTTACCCCCAAGCCTGTGCTGTCTTCCTGCAGAAGGTTCTTGGGATGACCAGAGTGGCTTTTCAAATCATGGGCTAGGGCGCACCCACAGGCAGTGTTGGTCTCGTGCACCCACCCTCCCACTTTTCCATCCTGCACACATGCACGCACGCGTGCACGCACGCACGCGCGTGTTCTCCCGAGTCTTGGTCTCAATCATTCCTCGCCATGCTTTCTCCCAGCCACTCAGAGCTCAGTGTGCTACTGACATCAGCACATCTGGAGAGCAGCCCCCATCGGCCGGCTCCCTGCCTTGCGTCATTTGCATGTCACTGCCTCATTCCAGCATTGGTGGAGATTTGGGGTTTTTTTTTCATTATTCTCGGTGTAGAAACACCCTCCTACCCTTCACATTGCCATTAGCTGGAAGGAGAAATGGGTGGAAAGAATTACCTCTGTGTGGGTCAAGCCTCAAATAGAAGCTGTGACTCAGGTCTGGAATCTGATAAGGAGGTGCCTTTCTAGGAAACGGGACTTGTGCAAGGAATACCAATTTGATGTGGCAGATGCATTTTTCCTTTCCTGTTTCCCCCCCTTTCACAAAGCAAAGCACAGGGTATGCTAAGGGGCTGAGAACCCAGCCCCTCTGTGAGGGCGGGGAAGCCGCCTCCCTCACCAGTGAAGATGGGTTAGTTAATGCCTGTTAAATACTTTAAAATGAAATATCTCCTGTACCCAAATACTCAGTCTGATCATAGCCCTAGGTCTGATGTCATGGGCAGGGAAATGTAGTTCTAGGCAGACATGTGGGAAAAGGGAAAGGCACTAGGGCCTTGCCCAATGGTGAGTGTTGGGAAGGGAGGGACAGAGAGAGAGAAAGAGACACAGGGGCAAGACTCAGAGAAGAGGGGGGCAGAGCGTGGGGTGGAGAGGAGAGGGGGGGGCGGTTAGGGAGAATTCCGATTATTAGCAGGATCGGAGAGTTGTAGCTTTCCCTTATATTTCTGTGGAACCTGCTGAAAACAAACGCAGTCTTGGAAAAGATAAGGTTTACCCTTAAAAAGAAAAGCTGCTTTTCTAAGTTAAGGTGTCAGGGATTGTTTTAGTTGGCTTTTCTTTATCTGTTTACTTATTTGGTTAGTAAGTTGCTTGGTTGGCTGCATTTTGTCGTTTCAGTTTAGCATCCAACAAAATAGGACGCGTTTGAATTTTGCCAAGGTGGTTCTTTCTTTTGGCCTGAAATGCGGCCTGATTACCCGCCCCAGCTGTGGGAAGACACAGGCCTTCCCTCACGTTAATGGCAGGTCCAGTCTGCCTGGACACCCCTGGACTCTGTGCCCGTCTTTGTTCCTCTTGGAAAGACGTGTGCTTGGCTGTCACTCCAGCTGCCCTCTGGTTGCAGGCAGCTGAGGTTTGCTCTTCCCCGTTGGTGATGCTGAGCCTGGTAAGTTGGATTCCCTTCTTGATCTGTAGGGGAGAGGACACAAGGCAGCTCGGGGATAGCAAAGATAACGAGCGATGACAAGAGAGGGCTCCTGTCAGGGAAAACCTGACAAAGAGAAGGTGTGAGTGCTGCTGAGTCTGTGAGTTATCCACCCTGGAGGCTGTCAAGGCTGAGGCCGGAAGATGCTCACCCAGAAGGAGTAGCACGATCATTTATTTATTCATTCATTCATTTGTTCATCCTTTTCTCTTTCTTTCCCTTTCTTCCTTCCTTCCTTCCTTCCTTCCTTCCTTCCTTCCTTCCTTCCTTCCTTTCTTTCTTTCTCATTTCTTCTCTCTTCATTCATTCATTCTCCATTCTTTTATATGTTCATCCATTCACTCTGCATTCTTCAACTATAATAGCTATTCATTCTGCATTTTTTATATATCTATTCTTTCAACAAACATGTATTGAGTACCTTCTGTGTACCAGGTACTATTCTAGGTTCTGGACTTACATTGATCTGAAACTAACACAATATTGTAAATCAACTATACATCAATTTTTTTTAAATGATTAAAAAAAGATAAATAAGACAAAGATGCTCACTTAAAGGAATCAAACACATGCCCAAATAACCATAATATGGATGAAGCATAATACTTGTCCTAATAGAGGTACCAGTGAAGTTCTCTGGGAGCTCAGACAAGAAGGGCTGCATCAAGCTGGAGGGAGCTCAGAGACTTCGTAGAGGAGGCGGCATCTGCGTTGAGCCTGGAGAGATGGAAGGAATTTTCCCACACGGCCACAGGGGATTGGCAAGAATACAACTGGCAGCAGTTCAAGGAAAGCCATGGAGGCAAGATGTTAGATAAATGCCAGGAAGGGCAGGCCACTCAGGCTGACGGGAGAACAGGGCAGAGCAAGCAGGACCAGGAGATGGGCCAGAAGGCTGGGGGGCTCCAGAGGCTGCACCACTGTCGTCTCCCACATGGCCCACCACATGGACATGGGAAAGCAGAAGTGTCTCCAAAGGCCACAGTTAACACCTGGTCACTCGAGAGAAGCAGGACGAAAAGGCTGCGTGCATGGGGCGCAGGTCTCCTAGACTCTTTTCCCATCAGCCATTCAGCCTAGATGAGTTTGTCACATTTGCTAATTTTTTTTTCTTTTCTTTTTTTTGTGGTACGCGGGCCTCTCACTGTTGTGGCCTCTCCCGTTGTGGAGCACAGGCTCCAGACGCGCAGGCTCAGCGGCCATGGCTCACCGGGCCCAGCCGCTCCGTGGCATGTGGGATCTTCCCGGACCAGGGCACGAACCCGTGTCCCCTGCATCGGCAGGCGGACTCTCAACCATTGCGCCACCAGGGAAGCCCACATTTGCTAATTTTTATCAAAGAATCGTGTATCCTAGTCCAAGCTTGTACGGCAAAATAATTAAGAGCTCTGGGTCTGGGTTTTGTATTTCACAGACCAATATAATGTTTTAAAAATCAAGGGGACTGCCATAATGATGTCAACTTTTAATTTTGGCAAGAAAGAATATACTCAGAATTTGCCAATTTACTATCACCATCTGTGGTGAGGACTGCTAATTGCCTACCGAGTATCCATTTTCCTCTCCTGCCTGATAAACAAAATACTATTTTATTTGGGGCAGCAATATGGTCAAATCAAAACCACATTTTCCAGCCTATATTGGTCACTGGGTGGAACGTCTGGGACAGCTCTTAAAGGGGGCTGACTGATCGGCATGCATTTTTCCCCTTCGTCTCTGGTTCCTTCTTCCGATTTAAAATCACGACCTTTGTGAGACCACACGTACAAGCATCAGGTTGAACACGGGGCTCGCTCTGAGGGGCTTGCAACTTTCCACAGGAAGCAAGGAGCAACGCACCCTCCCCGGGCTTAGAACCCTCCACATCTCTCTTGGTGTTTCTAGTTCCTTCCATTGCTGCCCTCCTCATGTTTGACCCCGGTATGTGTGTGAGGGAAGTGAGCATGCTGGCAGCTGACCTCTGGCCCTTTTCTCTCTTTCTGAGACTCCAACTTCCATCACCACATGAGCTTTCATTTGCTCCTCTTGTCTGGTAGTAACTGCCCTTGAATAATGACCAGAGTCGCAGTTTGTCTTCTCCCTCTACCCGATCCTGCTGCCTCTTGCTCTCTCCCACAGATGTTGATCCTTAATAAATATCCTGCCCCCCAAACTCCACATCAGCATTGGCTTCCAGACAACGCAACCTATGACATGAGGTAAGCTAGAGATTAGCAACTCACTGTGGAAAGTCACAGACACTCTTAGGCTGAGCGACAGTCGGCAGGAGGCACATCATCAGAGCCCGGAGACCTGCTCTCCACTGACGCAGCTGGAGAATTTGCTGGAAGAGAGCCACTGCTGAAACTCCAGAAGCCCCTCTAGAATCACCAAAGTCCCTAGAGCCTGGAGCCAGCCCCTCCCCCCGC